TTAGCTGTAGTTTTTATACAAGATCTTATTGTTATAGATATTGGCCAATATGTTGTGGAACTGAGTGAAGAAGTTGGCCATTATCAGTATACATAGCGAAATGAAGGTTAAACAGATAATTCTTATCAATTTTTGCGCAAATAAGCCTTTTGATGAGTGACTAGCACAAGCGTGTTAGCTAAACAGGTAACTCATCAGGTGATTACGATATTATTATTTGAATTATGTAATTATAATAAAAAATAAAAGAAATTATAATTTAAAAAATTGTAGCATACAGTTTTTATTAAGAAGGCCTCTGGGCAGTCATATTTCTTTTAAAACTTGATTTCAGCTTTGCGAAAGTGATATTCAAATGTTTTTAAGTTATAAAAGCAGTTAAATTTGTTATTCTAAAGCACTTAAGGCATTTTCATTGCTTAACCATAATGATATCTGGCGACTTTTAGTATCTTAAAGAGCAGCCAATAATCCATATATTAGGCTAATGAATATACAAATTAGATTAATGATAACACAAGCAGCGTTTACCCATTGCATCATATGGTGCGCATATTTAGTAGAGTTTTGAAATATTTTTGCTGTTATCGTTGTTATCATTTATCAGTTAATTTGTTTAATTTTGTCATATTTTGCTGATAAACAATTTGCCTGCAATTACGATAAATAACATTAGTATTTGTTGTTTTTGGTTTGTCGTGAGCCAAACCACAATCATGTGAATTGTGAGATATTATAGCCAAAGGTTTGCGACTTGGCTACCGGCCATTATGGAAAAGTTAATTATATGGTTGGCTTCAACGTTTTAAGAGAGTTTCTTAGCTGTATTTCTTTATATATACAGTTCGTGTTTGATGTTTAGAGTCGCTCTTAACTGCATTCTCGCTCTGGCTCACGAAACATATGAGATATTTAGCGTCGACAGAAAGTGGCCTGATCTTTGATGACGTCATACGCAACAATTGGCATGTTAAACAGTTGTTTGGCCTGAACACAATGTATGAATCAGCTTGAATACACCCATTATTCATCTTTACCCGATTCGAATGATGATCAAATCGTGTTTATTGGTTTGAATCGAAATATAAAAACACGGCTACGTCACAAGCAAGCGCCTCCAACCATAGAGGACTACGTTTTCTAATTAAAAATACAATTAGTATTTATACAGTGTGCATTTGTAAACAACGTCGTCGATTCATGCGCATATCTTTAAATACACTTGCCAAAACAAAATGTGAAATAGCGAAAATCACGCCATTTTCCCTATTTGTTTCTAACCCATTTTTATGGCATACGTGTATTTAATGCGTATACGTATTAGACTTGTTTGATGAGTGCCACACAATATAGAATGTGAGAAAAATCATTAATAGAGTATCATATTAGAGCTAAACTTGCGCTCGAGTCGATGGGAAAATTTCAAAGGGTGGCTTTTTTATATAGATGAGATTCCAATGCGCTTGAGATTAGCTTGTTTTCGTTATAGTACTGGCTAACTATTACGTTGTTTTAGTTACGAATTAGTCAGAAAGCTGAAAACGCCTCTCCAACTGACTCATACAATCCTGAATTGTTTTCTGGGTAATATTCAAGTAGCCTGAATACCTATTGATATTGCGTGATAAGTAAGAAATGATAATCGACTTACAAATACTTGAAATCGAATGAGAATTTACTATTTTCTTCGTTATATGATGAAGCAATTCTTCTGCTATGATTGTTGATTAAAAATGGAAAATTTTGTAGTAAATTATATAATTTTATTGTGCGCCGTGCTTATAAGAGACTAGCATAGAGTTCACAGTTTCCATAAAGATGTTAACTAGAAGGTTAGGAAGTATATGGGGTATTTTTAGGGAATAATTGAAAGTTATAAAAGAGGATAGAAATAATAATATGAATATTTATCAAATGCAACGATTTTCAGCTCTTTCATATATTTATAGTCTTCTTCATTTGAGCCAGCAGAGTGTACTAAATAAGCTGCCTCATTGAGCAAGGCTTTTCAGCTTTGCAGTTATAAATATAGTGGATATTAATTTTACATATTTAAGACTATATGTACTTAAAATATTAGAATACTATGTAGCCAGCTGGGTCTACTGTGAACTTCTTAGCCAAATAATTTACTTGGCAAACTGTAAGCCAAGTGCTTTAAGCGCTTTTCACACAGTTGTCAAACAGAGCCCTTTTTCTCACTCTCCCACTTCTCTGTATACATTTTCATCTTATGCATAATTAAAGCTAATATGGGACTGCAATTTAAGTACGAAAAACTTTAGCAACGAGATGTTTAACATTGAAATCTTTACAATAAGATGACTGCCATTGTGGCTGTTGTTGTGTTTGTTGTTGTTTTACATGTGGTGTCTGTTATGAAAGACAGACACATGTAGTTAAGTGTGATGCGTGTTTTGAGAGTGTGTGTGAATGAGTGTGACTTGTAATATACAAACAATTGCAGCATGTTGTTACACTTTTTAGGCTTCATCAGCCGAAAGTTGTTTCGTTTGCAACCAGTTTATGTGCTCGTAATTATGCATAAGGTAAAATGCGTTTTGTAATTAGCCTGAAACGGAAATGCATAAAGTGTCAGCTAGTAGCTGAGTGCAGAGTACAGTCTGAACTTAGTGGCTCACAGCACGTGCACATTTTTGAGCATAATTAGCCAAGTTAATTACGAAAGTCTGGACGAGGACGACAAGTTCTCGCTGCAAGTTCTCCTGCTTCTGCTTTTTCCTTACTTTGTATGATGATGTCGGCTCGAAACTTGTTTAATTTCGATTTTAAAATAAATCAACGCTGTCCGCCCCTCCCATACACTGTCCAACTGAAGTGCTGTTTTTGGCTTTTGGCTCGCTTGTGCATCTGAATCTGTAGCTGGCATTCATTAGGCTGTTCGGAAACGTGCCGAGAACTTCGATTGCTTTTGCGGCTACCAATTTGAGAGCTAACCAAATAACAGTTGACAATTTTCATTTGCCAATTACTGGTGGCTGGATGCTAAAAATATCTCGAAGAAATTACTAAATAATCTGCCTCGAGCTGGCACTATTTTGGAAATAATTAACATCTTGATATGAAATTCAGAGCTAAATACCCTGTTCAAAATATTTTGAAAATAGCATAGTATATATCATATCATTAGATCGACTGGCTTTATATATATATATATATTATGTTGATGCTACAATCTGCACACTCCAACAGATCTACTGCTACGAGTTGTAAGTTTTATATTTTGATTGGGATCAGAAGCACCAACATGGCTATAAAACATAGCCTCGGCCAAGACCACATAAGTACTTTATGGGATCAACTATGATGCTTGACACATTTTATGCCAGCAAGGCTAGTGGACTAATAGAGCTAACTCTTTGACCTATTACCTGTTTCACGAGCTGCCAAGTTTCTTAAGTGACATTTTGCCTGGCCTTAAATACATTTGGCCTTTAGGTTTATTTTGGTTCTGATAAGTCATTTTACTGTTGGCAACTGTCACAGTTACAGCTCAAAAGCATTTCGATTGCAAATAAGGCATGTAAATTATTAATAGGACTCAGACACACGCCAAGGGCCATGTCAAAACCGCTGCGTATTAGGAGACTATTAGACTATTAGACCCCCAGTTTGACCCAGTGACCGGTTTGAACCTATTGATTGCCGTCTTTGTTATAGCTTCGAGTTTTAACCTCTTCAAGCTTTGGTTTTGAACTCAAAATTCGCTGTGCTTGAGATCATTTGGTTTAAGGTTGGTTTTTGACAAATGAAGGCTTGCTCACTTTTTTTAAATCAATATATATATAAATCAATATATATATATATATAAATATTTTTTTTTAGTGGGGGTTTTTGCGAATATTAATATTGAAACGGAAACGCAGAAAATGGATGTTTGACTGCATTGAGGTTAAGTTGTTCATTAGTTTTAACGGTTTTCAATAACAACTCTCGACTTTTTAACACTTATTTTTGGGGTTTTTTTTGCGAACTGATTGGTTTCCTAACAGTTTTTTTTTATTTTACCTAATATTTCTAATTACTAAAAAATACCGAAGATTAAATACTCTTCTTAGTAGATAAATAGTCTCTTGTCTCGCTATGCTTCGCTCCGACAGGGAAGTTTCGAGAGCTTATTTTGCTGATTGATGATTTTGGAATTATTTATAATATATATAGCCTTAAAAAATGCACTAATTTACGTTACTCATCATATTATAAGAATTTTATTTATTTGTAGATCAGAGTCATGGATTTCTAGAGACTACTTTAAATACTTTTTATGCATGAAGTTTCAAATGTTTTAACTGATGCTTGGCTTTACATAAATATTTATACATTGAAACTGGTTCGGTTATCGTGGGCCCGTCTTGTGGCAGACCAAACATTTGCTTCAATTCTCAACACGTGCGTCCCCAACTTAAATTCGTACTGGGGCTCTCTCACATCACTGTGTCGACCGCAGAGCAACAACTTCAAAATGAAGTCAAACTCAGTGAAGAGAGAAGAAAAAAAGAAACCAAGAAACACTTGTTGCTCTCCACAGCCGCCGAGGTCTATGCTCTCGGAAGCCAGATGCCGGCCGGCAGCAGAAAATGAAGAAACATGAATTGGAGAGGATCCCAGCAGGGAGAAGGAGAGAGACAGAGGGAGAGAGAGAGAAGATGGGTATGAAAAGCGACTTAGGAAAGTAAAAGGTAGACAAAATGGAATGTGGTTGAGGCATAGCTTTTATCATGGAAACACACACGATATGCTGCGTCAGACGTAAGACGAATGTTATTCCAAATAAACCAAGTCATATAACTAAATAAACGTTTTGAAATTGGAGGCTTGGTGGCCTGATCGACAAGTAATGCGAAACTAAGTCAACAAATGTGGGCACGTCTCTCGCACACACAGCGAAGCTAATCAAAGTTTTCATTTAAGTTCGATCCAAATACATGGAACGCTCATAGTTTCTTAAGATTGGAAATTCTAAATTAAAGTATACTTACATATATCCAACGGCGTATTTATCTTGCCCGAAACATTCTGGAACATAAAGTCCATGCTCAGATTGATGCCTTTGCTGTTGAAGAAGGATGAGCCGAAGCTGTTGCCAGGACTGCTCCCACTGATGCTGTTAGCTGCGGCGGGCGCAGAACTCTTGAGCTTATCAAGCTGTGGGCTCAGCGTCGTCGTCTTCATAATTTTCTCGAGCAGCGCCGATCCGCTCAGATTTGATATGATTAAACTGGGACTGGGCGCCGATGCAGTCACCTGAGCAGCATTTACGGCGGCGGCATTGCAAAATTTACTTATGCTCAATATGGATGTGATAAAGATTAAATGGAACGACGACGTGAAACTGAAGCTGATCAGCTGCTGCACCCGGCTCTGATAGTTGGAGCTGCTGCTGAAGAATGCGCTGACCTTTGGAGGTGTATCCACAACGTTGTTGCTGTTGCTGTTGTTGCTGTTGTTACTTATGTTTATTGTAATTGTTGCTTCGCCTGCTGTGGCTGGGAGTTCATCCATTTTATGCTTAAGCTTTGTGATTGATAAATTGATTTTAAATTGATTTCACACTCTGAAATGGGGATGAAAAAGTCACAAACTCTTTTTATTCACTTTTATTCACGCAATTTTCTTGAGTATTTTATATACTATTCATTATTAAATAATAGCGCGATGTCTACGTCAGCTGTTCAAGCATCGACGGAAAGAAAAATAATCTTGCCAACCGAAAACTAATAGAAGAAGAATTATACAGAGAGCGAAACGCCATGATAAAATTTTTGGGGATTGTATCGAATGTGAAGAGCGTGCAAGAGCAAAAGAAACTTGCGGAACAGCAAAAGTAAAAAAAGAAATATCATACGATGTTGCAAAAAATCGAAAAAAGTATACATGCACGAGTTGAACAGCGAACTATGCTGTGCTTGGAATACCCTATAAAATGATCTGTTGAAAACGATCGGAAAAAGAGTGGAAGTAAATAAATGTAGTGCATATAGTGTAAGCAGTGTGAGTGAAATAATAGTTTTGTGGTATTTTTAAATATGGAGTGTTAATTTGTTCAGGCCCATTTGGGGCTTGGTACTGCAGGGTATTTCAAAATGAAACCCATATAAAGGTTGCAAAATGTATAAGGGCGACGACTTATTCATGCGGCCAAACGTATTCAGCGCGGTTAGTGCAGGTTTTACAAGGTAAACCCTAAACATGAAGCATACGAGTTTCTACTTGTCACGCTGAATGGCTTATGGCTGGAATGAATAGATCGCACTCATAAGCACACTACGAATGTGAATCACAGTTAGAATACTTTATCTATGAATGGTAATCGAAGCTTTCTGGCGCCTACACTCCAACTGAAGTACCTTTTGATATTGCCCAATTGGTCGAAGCTAAAGTGAAACTTTTCGACGTTGGCTATTCTAATTTTAGTGTATGCTAAAAATCGTTCAGTTGACAAAAAAAAAAACAAAGATTTTCTTAATATACATTTTGTTGTTGGATTTTTTTTTGGCAATGCAGAAAATGCGACCTCGAAATACACGTGTTCCGTATCGGATATGCCGTACAGTTATAGAGCGAAATAGCATCTGAGATTCACGCAAGTCAGCTAAATAGTCTCATACGTTAGCAATTAGCACTTGCTTTTTAATATTAACTTTTGAGCACCGCTCGCTACCTTTTCTTGTTTCTCTCTCTTCTTTTATCGTTTGGATTACAATATATTTATATTATTTGCTTTTGGTTTGGGGGAACATTTACTACTGAAGCATATGTCGTCCACACGAATTATTATTATTTGTATTTTCTGTCAGCTAAGCAGCTGTTTGACCGTTATAATATCAGCAACAACGATACGACTGCGCGCAACGCACAACGTTCAACGACTGATCTACCAATGCGGAGCAGTTACCCAACGAGCCATTCCGAATTCATTCGTGTTTCAGTTCAGCCGAACACCGACGAACGATCGCCACGCGTACACAAAATTTTGACAGTTGTACCGAAAGTTAAAAAAAGAGCGAGAGAGCGAGAGAGAGCCCTGCGAGAGTAATGCTGTGTTGATAAGAGCAAGTGTTCGAAAGAGTCAAAGTTAAGAGCTTGCAGGTGGTTGTAAGTCTATTAGAAACAAAATGCTCTTCGCCAATTGCTCGACCAGTTGTTGGGTCTGAGCACAATGGCCAACCAATTTAGTTGCTATAATACTATTCGCATAAATTGATTCTTGGCATAGGTCAGAGACCATGACATGCATATGTTAATTGCATAGAACGATCAAAGTTGTAATCAGACTATGTTAAACGAATACTGTAGAATATTAAGTACTGTTAGGCTTGATTATACAATCTGTCAAGTATTTGCACTATATTATACCTTGTATATTTCGATATAGTAGCGTTTCAACATATTTTATTTTGCTAATTATAAATTTCTTTAAGTCCATTCCTTTTCCAAAAAATCAACATTTACACACGCAACTATTTTTTACTCTAGGCAATAGCCAGACTAGGCTCTACGGGCGATTTGCATATTGCATAAAATTTCGAAAATGTCAGACAATGAGGTCTACATAGTATGAATAAATTTGTGTAAGCATTAACATACATACACAATTCTATAATATATGACAGATAAGTGTTGTAATATCTACTGATATAATTGGAAAAGGGCAAATTTATAGATATTAGAGCAGATAATAAACAGAGAGTGAGTTAGAGAGAAAGAGAGAGTTCTCATATGTCTGTGTTATCTATTCGTGCACATCGTTATGCTAAAATAGTTTGAATAATTCAATTACCTTCGGTCTTACTGATTGACTTTCATTAGTTATGGCAATTCAAATGGATTTGAAGTCTAGGCTGGAATATTGCCATGCCTAACCTTTCGATTTGTATATTAATTTCATCAGTCATCAAGAACCTGCAAGCCAAAGCCTTATACGATATAATGAAACAAATTAGCTACTACACATATCGGCATTTATTCAATCGTTGTGATTCGGAAACATATTTACACTTAACAATAGTATATAATAATATTGATAATAATAATAATAAACGATCTGCACTTTGAGCAGAACAAAGCTTTCTTCTAATTATTAATTTATTGTGTAATTAATTAGATAATATTATAATTTCAATTACTTTTTGCTTCTCAATTAAGTAATGCACACTTACAGCTATATACAGTTTGGAACTACGTGAATTATCGTTAGAGTTTGGTTTTTAGTTTAGTTTAGTTTTAGGTTTAGGTTAGAACTCGACGACATATTTTGTACAGCATCCTTTAAGGATTCTCTCTGCTTCATCTTCTTCCTCCGCTCTTAACTGCTGGTAAAATAAGTTTAAAATAATCTACACATACGAGTTGCTCAGTCTTTAGGCGTGTCTGCAGCGGGTTTATAATTTGCTTCTAAACATAGATTAGATAGAATAGACCCGAAAGCTCTAATACGACGAGATGCCTATGACGGGTGAGTACTAGATAGAGAAAGGCAGTTAGCATTGCTTGAGGTAGTTTTGTTCAGGGCTTATTACCTCCTCGTCCATAACGCTGGTGTGATCGTAGATACGGGCGGGCAGATTCTTGCGCAAACTGAAATGATCCTCAGTTGTGGTCTTGCGATAGATGGGATTCTCAAAGTTCATGGAGTTGATGCGTCGCTTGCTGCAGTAGCGATAGCCAAGTAGCAGGACCTATGGAGCAAACATATTAATACGTTTAATAAATAAGTAAGACAACATAAAAGAGAATGATATGTGTAACCGAAAAATATGCATATAATTTCATATTATTGATTGAATACTAATAGGAAATTTAGGCGGATGGAAAATACCAAATATTCAAAAATACATTAAAAAAAAATTTTGAAGCACTGAATGCTAAAAATACCAAATATATTTTTATACAATAAAATCTTTTGATATTTTCTTAATTATCCAGTTTGCTTTGCTTTCTGGTATATTCAGAGTATACTGCTCTTCAGTTAGATCTTAGGACTTACCACCGATAGCAGCACCGCACAACCACTGAGACTGGCAATAACCACGAGCGCTATGAAGCCCGAGTCCGGCTGAGGACTGGGCGCTGTGGTTTGATCGATGTGCGTTTGGTTCTTCACGGGACTCCGCTCGGCAACTGTGGATGGCAAAAAGCAGAATGTAAATCACAGAAGAAAAGAAGTCGGAGCACAAGATGTGACACAGACATAAAAGCGAAGGAAGCACAATAATAAAAGGCGCCAAATGAAATGAGCAAAGGGAATGAAAGCAAAAAAGAAAAGAAAAGCAAATGAAAATAAAAAATATTGTGTAATATACGAGGCGAAGCCCAAGCTTGTGGGCCATTTGGGCGATTGTTACCAGCAGTCGCAGCTCCGTCTCTCTAGCCCGCCATGCCACACAATTCGAGCCCCTACCAATGCAAAAGAATTTTCAATCAAATCGTTCAAAGAGCGCATTTAGGCGCAAATAAACACTTAAACGCGCTCGCGCCTTTGATGGCTAAACTTTTATGCCCCGGCCATGGCTACAGCCACGACTGCAGATCTGAAAGGCAGTACTGACTGTGTGGGTATTAAAATAGGGGGTGGTGGTTGTTAGAGGGATAGCTGAAGTGACACAGCGGGCAACCTAAATGCCGTAGGATGCGTAATGACATCGTTAACGCGCGCGCCGTTTAATGGATTCGGCTTCTGATACGAACTGCCGAATAATCTGGATTCAAGTTGGATCTTAAATCAAGTCGAACAGCGAAAGCTATCAGCTTTTTCTAGAATTTCACTTTAAAGAGGCGAAGTAGCCAGTCAACACGGCACTAATATTAACCTCATACTTTGCGGTATGGTTTGGTTGTGGGTGGCTTACTGGGCTGGCTGCTTTGCCGCTCGTATCAGTTGCAATGTGCTGCCTACTTGCGGTTGGCTCTCTCTCTCTCCCTCTTTTTCCCTTTCTCTGCCTGTATGTGTTGCAAGTGGCTCTCGACGGCGTTTATGAAACTGTCATGTCTGTGGTGGGCTGAGTGGTTGCCTTTTTTGATGATGATTAATGTGAGCCGTGACAAAGCAAATGTTATGTCCGAGCAAATGAAGTGTTTGGCTCCGAAATGCCAAGTAGCCAATGCACCACCCACAAATGGAAAAGGAAATGCGACGCAGAGCCATCGAGCAAGACAACAGCTCGGTGCATTTACTAAAAATGTTAGTGAGTAATTGGGTTAAGCTTCAGTCTTCAGTCTAAGCTTTAAATTTCAAAACCAAATGATGGTAGACAGAGCACTGAGTAAACGGGACTTGAAGGAGAGTAAATGTATTATATATATCTTCCCCAAAATGGAGTTACCTCGAGAGAAACATAGATATATTTACTACACTTATAGTTATTAAATGCATTTTCATATTCATCATCATATTCACATTCATATTCATATTCGTATTCATATTCATATTCACAATCATATTCATATTCATATTCATATTTATATTCATATTTATATTCATATTCGTATTCATATTCATATTCACAATCATATTCATATTCATATTCATATTAATATTCATATTCATATTCATATTCACAATCATATTCATATTCATATTCATATTCATATTCATATTCATATTCATATTCATATTCATATTCATATTCATATTCATATTCATATTCATATTCATATTCATATTCATATTCATATTCATATTCATAGTCATATTCATATTCATATTCATAGTCACATTCATATTCATATTCATATTCAGATTCATATTCATATTACTTATGTTTATTCAATGTGGTACTGCAGGAACTTTACAATGAGGTGGATGACAGACCTAACTAAATTTCCAGATGGATCTTCGGATTGAACTACTTATGAAGAAACACATAAATACGTATATAGACAGGCGAATAAAAACACATAGATATATCAACAGTCAGAAAACATGTTTATCAGGCATACCATGCGTTTGGGGCACTTTGTTGCTAAGAGGCTTTGCCTGGTTAGTTTCGGTTAGTGTATTGGTATTATTCAATTTGACTAGACGCTGATGGGATTTCGTTTTTGTCTTAAGTCTGTGGGTACGAGGAGGTATGGTTACAGCTCGATAGCGGGCTGTACGTGCATCGGGTTAATAGGGGAAAAAATAAAAAGCGTTAATAAAGAAATCATGCAGAAAATATAAGAAGAAGAGAATTTGTTAAAAACTGAACGGTACTCACGGTCTTCGACGCACATGAGACCATCGGACATAAGCTTGAGACCCGTGGGACAGGCGCAGGAGATGCGCGGACTGCGCTCGTTGATGCGGGGTGCAGGCAGACACAGATGCGAGCAGTGTCCATTTACTGATTGGCAGTGATTAATGCCATCGGGCTGGCGATAAGGATGATACACATGGATGACCATGGGGTGCTGCAACTGTGAGGAAGAGAGAGATCGATGAGTAGAGAAGAGGCTCAGTCATTGGCTGTGGCTTACCATGTGAACAGCTGTGATAGGCTCTACGTCTTGTCCAGTAAATTTGTTAGCCTTGAAGACCGTCTGCTTGTCCCAGTCGGTCCAATAGATGTAATCCTCGAAGGTGCTGATGGAGAAGGGATGTCGCAGATACTCAGTCGAGTACAAGATCTGTCTGCGCTGCGAGCCATCGTAGTTGGCCGAGGAAATTATATTCAGCTTGCCATCCACCCAGTAGATGCGCTTCCTCACCAGATCCAAGGTGATGCCATTAGGCCACTTGACGTCATAGTTGATGATCGTCGTGCGATGGGAGCCATCCATGCCGGCGCGTTCGATGCGCGGCGAGGCACCCCAGTCGGACCAGTACATCCAACCCTCAATGGGATCGAGAGCTATGGAGCGGGGAATATCGAGCGCGTCCTCAATC